CTGAATGTGAGGCAACTCTTCCAGAAGCACAGATGAGTATATGAGTACCATTTTAAACCCATATTGACCTTCAGAGAACTGTTTTGGTGCTTTCATGTACTTCTGTTGAAATAAAACCTAATTAACACTAGTTTAGATTTAAATTTTTGTGTATCTTCTCAAGATAAACCAGCTTTTTCTTTTGGCTTCTTGATGCCCTTTTACCTTACTCTTCAACTACCACACAGTTATTTTCACTTTCAAATATCAGGTTGTTGTTAAGGCCACTTTAAAATTAAAGAAGCACCAGGGCTATTGCACATTTAAAATATGTTGAGGCAAAAACCACATGCATGTGGTTTATACACTTAACCATTCAATAAATGGTCTAGAAAAGAGAGCTATTGATTTTAGTCTTGTTCTTCCTGCCTTGGGCAAGCAGCCCAATGGCCACCTGGTGTGTCTACCTATCCTTTAAGTGAAATATTATAAGTCAAGATATGGATATGCATATCCAAAAGATCAGACTAAGGCCCTAATAGTATGTGTGACCAAAAGATTTTCCTCTTCTACTTGTAAGACAAAACTCCGAAGTTGTGAGAGAAATGGCTAGATTTTAAAGGCAATCTGTAATGGCTGAATCTTTTATTTTTGCCTCTTGAATCATACAGCAGTTTGTGAGAGTCAAACATTTGACAGCTGATTGAAAAAAATGAAATGTAAGCGCATTTCAGTGGAAGTAGGCCAGTTGCTAACATTCTCTTCTATCTCTGCAAGTTAAATTTCATTATTTAATTGGATAAAAATCAAGAGCAATATGCATCACAATGGGAAATTTCTAAGTAAGTTCATGTTATTAGAGGGAAAAATTGTCTCGTGGCATTTATGGGTACTGATTCTGTCATTTGTTAACGAATGGTATTTGCAGTTAATCTTCTCGAAAACTCCATATTCAGGGACCATGTCCTCGAGAACATGGTTCTTGAATCAGCGTGCGGCTTCCACAGTATTGCGCCAGGCTTCTGCTATAGCCAGGCATGTTTTCTGTGGCTGAATTAGGCCTGGAGAATGTTGCATCTTAAAACCTGCTTTCCAGTGTGCATTTGTAGAGCATAAGCCATCATCCCTCTGTAGACTCAGTACTTTCTACAAGGGATGGAAGAATCAAACCTTAAGTGCCATAAAATATATTGGAGGGGTAAGGAGAAAATAGTACAAGAACACAAGTTTGAGCTTGTACTATATGGTTTTATATGGAAGCTTTCTATAGATATGCCTATATAACTAATTACATTTTTCTAACTACTTCTGAATAAGTATTAATTTAGTTATTTAGTATAGTATTGAGTTCCTTAATATGGAAAATTTCATTTCAGTTTTCTTTGCTTTTTTTTTTTTATACCGTTGTAGTATCACAGCTATGGCAATATAAAGAAAGTAAGTTATTCTTTGTGTTTATCATCAGTCACTTGCTTTATATCAGTTACATGCTTTTAATAAATACGGAAGTCATTTTGGTATGGCTATGATAAAATATATCACAGACTACACTCTGCCAAAGTACTGAAATTAATTAGGAACTGCTTAGAATACACAGACGGTATTATATCAACATATAGGATTTTAAATGCTTACATAGTTTCTAGGGCAGAAATGAATTATTTAAAAAGACAGTTGTAAAATTCTTTATGTATACAATGACTAAAGCATATTAAGCAGTATATCATAATTGTTAAGTTATTATACATTAATAAGAATACACTCTAAGGTTTACTTTATAAAAATGTAAATAAATTCATGACTTTTGAAATTTTATACAGTTGATACAAGATTTTTGTAACTTCATAGAATAAAAAGTATGCACTCTCCTATGACCCTCCCTCCCCAAAAAGTGGCCTAGGAAGGTTACAACATGAATAAGCCTGATTCTCCAAGTTAAGAATTAACTTTATGTCAAACTTCATAAGGAAAGGAGCCCCCCACAAAACACTTAGTGAAATGAACCCTTGCCTACCAACTACCTTTTAAGCTTTGGTGCATGAGGATCTAAAAGACTCTGAACATTTCTTAAGAAGCTTCCTTAAGAAGAAGTGTAAGTTTAAAAAGCTTATCCTTATATTCAGAAAAACTCCTGAATAATAGTGAAGAAATTCTCCATGTAAAATGGGTTCTGTTCATTTGAAAGAGCAGAATGCATGTGGAGTTTTGGCAAGGGTTCAGAGATGTCTGTTTTTAAAACACAAGTTATGCCTCATAATACCATGCAGATAGGGGCAAATGATTCACTACTGACCCTCTACTTTACAATCTTTACAATATATAAATGCATGACCTCACATAGCTATTTAGAAAATTGAAAGTATTTCTATCCAAACATGTTAACCACATTCACAGAAATATTTATATCGAAAGACAGTACTAATAACAAAAATACATCCAGAGGTCAGTAGTTGATAAAGAGTAGATTCAGTTGTCATTCAGGTTAGTGGCTACTAGTAGTTGTGCCATTTGGGTTTGTTTTATGTAAATATTTGTATTTAAATATAAGACACCTGTAGACTATATGGCAGACTATTATAATGCAAAAAATTGAACATTTCACCTTATATTACAGTGGTAAAATGAGAACAGTATGTTTTCTAGAGGTTTCAAATGGAAAAATATACATGTATTTGTGTATATATACACATATACTGATTACTTTCTTCCCTTGTATTTCTTTATTGACTGTCTGCCAGTATTTTAGAAAAACATTTTGGAAATAGCATGTGTTTTTATTGCTAAAATATTATTAACTAAATAATTCCTATTCATTAAAAATGTATTTTCTAATACAACTAAATAAATTTCTGTCAAGAACATTATTGAGTTATACAACAAAGTAGAGAGATGAAACTATCTAAACACTATAATTCTCTCTATAAAAGTAATTCAGAAATGCAATCAATCATTCATTTATTGGCTCTCTATAAATTTGATATAACTATTTTGTGTCCATTCTATGCTTGGGTCTTTTGGTATATGTATGTGTGTGTATTTTTGGTATATATGTTTACATTTATGTAATAAATATATAATTTGTACCTATGTATAACTTTATGTACATACATAATTTATAAATATTCATGAGAATATCTGATCAAACAAAAAAGCATAATGGCCTAACATTCTACAAAATTTAGCATGGAGAAATCATGCAAGAAAGGCTTCATGGAGGAGGTGGTCCAGAACTAGGCTCAGAAGAAATTATCCAACTTGGTTTGACCAACAGGAAGAAGAAACATGAAACTTTTTATAACTAACCTCAAAATAATTGGGTTTCTCACTGGATTCATTTACACAGTGGTTATTATTGCTGCCACTCATCAGCTGTCATAGTGTTCAACCCATCCACCACCAGTGAAATTGGAAGGGAAGAAGAGTTAGTTGCTGAGTTCAAACAGCTATTCTGCTTTTTCTTCGTTATATCAGAAGCTGTTACAGTTCTATACAGTGGTAGCTTCCCTGGGATTTTCTTAAAAGAATAAAGATACTCTGGTTAAGAAGCAGAAATATCCTGGGGGAAGAAAATATGTCGTGGCCTTTCTCACCTCTCCAAAAAAGTAGAGGAATTTAATGGTAAAAACTCTCGCACTATAATGATCCTAAGAACTATCAGCCAAAAATGATGGCCTAGCTTCTCTCATTAGCATACTCCATACTAGGAAATATTTTATTTAATATTTTATTGAATTCAATTTGACTTATTTTTCATAATATATTTAATGTTCATAATATATTTAGTTGGACATGATTAACCTCACCTTCGAAGTAACATCACAGAAAATATTATCTGGATAATACTTTCCAAATAGTTCACATTATAAAATATTAAACTACATTTGTGTTATGATATTAGTAAATCAAGAATCTTGAGCCAAATTTTCTCCAATATGACCAATGTTTAGGGAGTCATTTGGGGATTTTTCAGTAACACATTAACTCTTTCAGAAGGCTAGGGCAGAGCGACCCCTACCACTTAAAAGTTAATGGGGACTTAGAAACCATTACCATGTCCATGTGCTGTTTTTTCATCCTAAAAGCTTTACATTGGCCAGGCTGTGTTGTATGTCATGTCTTTGCATCCGTTTTCATAAAACACTGCAAATCCATAATGTTTTCACAAGTGATCTCCAAGTACTTATATATTTATTTTTGTATCATTAAAGAGGTTCTTCCTAACCATGTGGCATGCTGCAACGATTTATTTAAAGGAGAAATTCACAGCCTGATAACATGTTGAATTCAGAATGTGCTCCTAACAAAGGTCTATACAGATTCTGCCCAATGCCATTTATGAAGAAATTTCCATTTCATTTAGAATTCTTTGGCAATATTGAATTCATTTAAGCAGTTCAAAGAGAGAGAGAGAGATCCATCATTTTTCTGCTAGTAAAGTTAGAAGATTATGTAAGCCAGAGGAAAAATATAGCTCAAAGTTGAAATATAATGACTGTGACTAATGTTAATATGCTGCTCTTCCTTTCTAAAATTACAGAAACATGGACAGTAGTTAGAGACAACTGGTAATGGTCTTTGCTCTGAAAAATTCCATCGTAAGAAGTGGAAATTACAATTTAATTTAATATATTTTAATTAATATAATCAGTAGTGAATGTCAGCATATCAAACTTTCATCAAACTATTTTTGATTTGGCCTGAGAATTAACTTATTAAACTATTTCATATGACATCCATATACAAATAGATATCATAAAACAAATTAACCAGTACAGTTCATCCTTTCCAAATCACCCACGTTGAATGCTGTCTAACCTCTTTCTGTCTGAATCAGGTCAGTAGTTACATTGTTTTAAATATTAGGACTTTGATTATGTTAAATTATTAGTACATAATTTATCAGAAATGTTAATAGAGTCAAATGTGATCGCTATCATTTTTTCACACTATGACAAAGAGTTTCCAAATAAGCTGAATAAAAAGGGAGAAAAATCACAATTTGCAATGGGGTTTCTTTCTAGAAATTAAATGCAACCAGCTCATCTGAAGGAAGCACAGTTGATGTTGCTCCACCCCGAGAAGGCGAACAAGCTGAAATTGAACCTGAGGAAGACCTTAAACCGGAAGCTTGCTTTACTGAAGGTAAACAAGCTCTAATAGGATTAAAGTTCAATCTCCCCTCTTTTCTTACAGTGACCAAAAATACCCCACTTGAGGGAACTATTTCAAAGAAATGGTAAGGGCATGTTTATCTTTGCTTTTTCTCTTTTCTTCTGAAAAGTTAACTTATCTATATTTCCAGATTATATTATAGCAGTGACTGTGCCTGGACAATTAAGATGATCTGACCTGTCTTTTTTGTTGTTGTTTTCTTTACCCTTCAGAATGTGGAGAAGCTAATCCTATGAGATAAATGGCATTCTGGAATGTCATCTCATTGATAATGACTGCAATCCCTTCAGACCTCATTGGCAATTTGATTTATAGATGCTGCAGTAATTACACACCATCCTTCACAGTTTCAAATGTGGTTAATTTGTGCTGTGATCAGAGCTGTTTGGGGATGCAGATATACTGTAGAGCCTTGACAGGCAAAACAGTGCTCTCGTAGTGATCAGTACAAAGTCTTCCACACAAATCAATAAAGATTTGCTGATTCAATGTGATTGGGTTCAATCCAGTGAGTAGTAGCTCAGAGAGTTAGAGCAAGGAATGGATGGAAATGAGAAATAATATGAAATCTAGGAGGGGGAGGACAAAGGAACAGTGATACTGACTAACAAGATGAGTCATAGGTATAACTAAGGAAAGCACTGAGGGTGAAAATAAATTAGCTTGGGAAAACTGACAGTGGATGATACCTAGAAGACAGGGGTCTTTTCTGTGCATGAAAAGAAGGAAGTGAAAAATTCAGGATCACATCAAAAGATTAATAAGCAATTTGAAACATGCAGCTTTTCCCCAGACCTGAGAGGTATTCTTGGACCCTATTTCCATCAATGGCCTTGAGGCAAAGAGAGATTCTAACTAGTGTTAATAATGAAACTATTTATATTCATACAACCCTCGATAAAGTAATTCCTTGAATTTTAGGAGTCTAGCTAAATATATAACACTGAGAATGAGTCATTGTATAGGTAGGATGTTGAGATGACTAAGGAATGAAGTACCCAGTTACCCTGTAAATGATGATCTGGGATTGGCATGGAAGAAAGCAACCAAGTTTACTTTTTCCTATCTAAGATTTAAGTATATTTTCTAGAAAAGATGAAGGTGGTTGGGAAAGCAAAGTAGGTGGGTAGGGTGATGGGCAAAATAGATAAAGGAGATTAATAGGTACAAACTTCCAGTTACAAGACAAACAAGTCATGGAGATGAAAGATTTAGCAAGGAGAATACGGTCAGTAATACTGTAATAACTTTGTATGTGACAGATGGTGATTACACTTACTGCGGTGAGCACTTAGTATGTATGCGATTGTTGAATCCATAGGTTGTACAAAACATGTTTTGTACAAAACATGTTTTTTTCTAACTTCTTCTATTTAATGCTATATTTTAGGATGTATTAAAAAGTTTCCATTCTGTCAAGTAAGTATAGAAGAAGGCAAAGGAAAGGTCTGGTGGAATCTTCGGAAAACCTGCTACAGCATTGTTGAACACAACTGGTTTGAGACTTTCATTGTCTTCATGATTCTTCTCAGCAGTGGTGCTTTGGTAAATGAAATGCAAAGTGATAAGAGTCAGGTTCCAGTGAAATAACTTATTTTCTGAAAATACCACAAGCAGACACTGAGTTTAAGAAGCAAAAGGGAAGGTATATCTATGCCTGGCAAGGCATGGCACCCAGGGTTTAACTATGCAAAATGAAGTACATAATAAATCAAAACTATGAACAGCCAGATGGAATTTCTCATCTGGTATTTATCTAATAGATGTTTTCCTCACTGAGACATCCATTTACAGAGACATTCTGTAACTACGTTAACTTCCATGTTAAATACCATCCAGTTTGCCCTAATAATTATATTAACATTTCTGGACTAAAAGCGTATTTTGTTTTCTTTATATATAATTAATTTACTCTTTCAAAATAAGCCAAATCAGTCAGGGAATCATTGAAAGTAATGTTGGAATAGGCCAAGTCTATCCCTCATTACCAGAACTTCTAGTTATTTCTTGAGTTCACATTACTTCTCTAAAATCATGTCTTTATAGCAGTAATTGAGATAGAGATTTGGGGGTGAGAGGCAGGAAAAAAAAAACATACTATATCAGTAAAGATATTGACATTTCCTTGCCAACATTTTCTGTTAGTTTTAGTCTCTAGCTTTTGTCTGATGTTTGTCAGATATTAGCCAATATTTATCAAATTACTGCTTTGTATCCGATATTATGCTAAGCAATTTCATCAAGTACTTGGGGGATGCCAGCCTTTCAAGTAAAATAAAAACATTCTTGATTCACAGGCTTTTGAAGATATATACATTGAACAGCGAAAGACCATCAAAACCATGCTAGAATATGCTGACAAGGTCTTCACTTACATATTCATTCTGGAAATGCTCCTCAAATGGGTAGCTTATGGATTTCAAACATATTTCACCAATGCCTGGTGCTGGCTAGATTTCTTAATTGTTGATGTAAGTATCCTCAGTGGTTTTTATGAAATTACTTTTTAAAGAGGCAAGTTTGACATTTCATATATTCCTATGATTAAAACCTTGATTTTGAGAACCTAGTTTTACTAATGCTGACACAACTCTGCACCTAAACACACACACACACACACACACACACACACACACAAAACCACACACACACACACACATTTATTACACAATAAATATAAAAATTAGGAAAGTTTCATGGGAAAGGGTAGAAGAGGTCCAAAAAATGTGGACAGTGGTAAGGAAAACACAGAGTGTTCTATGCCATAAGCAGACAGTTCTTTTTTCCAAAAATTAAGGACCTCAAGGTAGGAAATAGCTAAAAATCTGTTGACAGATCTAAGCACTTAGCTTATTAACAGTTACATTAAAAAAAAAAAAAAAAACACAAAACTCCAGGAGGTAAAATTAAGAAAGATTTGGGACTCCTGGGTGGCTCAGTCGGTTAAACATCTGCCTTCAGCTCAGGTCGTGATCCCAGGGTCCTGGAATCGAGTCCCGAGTCAGACGTGCTTAGCAGGAAGCCTGCTTCTCCCTCTCCCCACTTGTGTTCTTGCTATCTCTGTCGCTCTCTCTCAAATAAATATATATATATATATATATATTTAAAAAAAAAATTTAGGGCCACGAATTGTGAGATTGCATTTTAATCCCTTACAAGAGTACTGTTACTAAATAATGTTAAAACAACCGATTTACTGTATTTATTCAGCCACATACCCACAGAGACAATAAAATACATTTCCATTCTTAAATCAATAGTTAGATACCCCAGTAGCTATTCAGAAATTTACCATGCAAATAGTTAGGTGTAAGAGCCCTGCTTTGAATCTGATTACCCTGGGGTGAGTAGTCATAAAAACATTACCAGTTATAGGATCTGTCTGACTTGCAGCCTATTTTCTTATTCCAAGCAATGAAGAAGCACTGGGGCAAAATGACAGGCATCTGGTTCTTTGTAGTATGGGATATTCCATTGCACAAGGCTTTACAGCCTCCCAACAAAACTAGGTACTTTAAGCACTATCTCTAGCTGTTCCCTAGCAATCATAAAGCACTTTATTTTTAGCTCTAACACTTGCCAATAAGAATCAATAATTGCTGTATGTGTACATTCATTCTTTTTATCATTTTGACCAGTACGGGCCTATCTAAATTCTACTCCCCTTTCTGACACACATACATACTTAGAGTGCTATAACCAAAATGTGTTTAACTCTTTGAGTTGATAAGAAATCTGCTCCCAAGTCACTTTAATAGACCAGAAATGATTTCCAATTTCCATGGTCGGCTTTAAATGGATAATAGAGGTGAATTTTAATGTTATCCTGAAAAGCTATCCAGAAAGGGAAGTTTAATGTTCTTACAGTCTGCAGCCGGAATGAGCTTCAAAGAATATCTAGGCTTTATTCTAGACATTAGGAAACTGAAGCCTGAGTTTAAATAATTTTCCTAAGATCAAACAACTACTTAGTAACAAAGCTGAGATCAGTGTCCAAATTTCCTAATTCCCAATTCATTTCTTCTTTACTCCAGGGGTTTCTTATCTGTTATAAATGTAATACTGTATTTTTGGAACTGGCTTTGGGATTTAGCATTTGTAATCTCCAGCTTTTTCCTGAAATGATGGAACACTGAATACATTTAAGAATCCTCTCTGGTTCAGAAAGATTTTGTCATGCATTGAAGATCATTTACAAATGTAATAGAACTTCTCCAGAGAATTCTGAAATTTACTGAAGTATTATTTACTAAAAATTTTACATTTACTGAAATACTACATTGTACTTCAAGTACTTCCATATAGTTGGCCCATACAGAAAATATGAGTAAGATGTAAAACTCTCTCAAGAGCAGGGGTTTTGTATCCTGTTTGTATCCTTAGAGACACCTAATATAGATACTTAAGTATCTACTGAAAAATGTCTAAATGAATAAATTTAATTTCAAAGAATATGCCCCAAAAAATTACTTCCCTTTTAGCGAGTCTCAATTAGTAGACTGAAAGTGGGTAATTAAAGCCTTCTACTTTGGGGCAAGTCATGTTATCTTAAATGGGTCTATTCTTCTTTACAAAGCCAGGGCAGAAATATGTGGATTAATATAACCTCAGTAAATGGAGTGCTAAAACTGTTTTTAAAAGTACAAGTAAAAACATACTTAAAAGAGTTTCACCAGTCCATCAAGTACATTGATGTAAAAAAACTAAAAAACTACAGAAAGCGTATCCAAAAAAAAAAATCTGAGGTGTAAGTGAAGTACTGCAAACCAGAAGGAATATGCTTTCAAACCTTGAAAAATTTATTTGTATAAAAAAATATAATCTGAGGGCTCCTGAGTGGGTCATGGGATCGAGCCCTAAATCAGGCTTTCTGCTCCGCAGGGAGCCTACTTCCTCCCCTCTCTCTCTCTGCCTGCCTCTCCGCCTACTTGTGATCTCTGTCTGTCAAATAAATGAATAAAATCTTTAAATATATATATATATATATATATATATATATATATATAAAATCTGTTCAATTCCTTACCTAAAAGTAGACTGCGGTGGACTATCTATCCAATCTCTTAACATTGATTCATTTATTCAATAAATGTGTTGAGCACCTAAAAAGGACCATATGCTATTTTAAACAAAGGAGGTATGAACATGAGCAGACCAAGCCCTGTTAGAGCTCACACCTTGTGGAAGGAAGGAACAAACAGTAAAGAGGCAAACAAGTAAAATTTAAAAATAAGCTATTTTGTCACATGTGATGTGATTGTTTTTCCTATTTGGGTTTTTGTTTCTTGGCTTTGGTTTTTTTTTTTTTTTTTTTTTTTTTTTGTCATGAAGAAATATTTCATACTGATTTGGTCAAATCTATCAGTCTTATTTTTTCCCCTTCTTGGTTGGGTCATGCTTCTTAAGACCCTTTCATATCAAAATTATTAAAACATTTTTCCATGTTTTTCCCCAATTTTACAATTTGAGTTTTGTGTTTCTTCATCCATTTTTATTATGTCATTTTCATTTTTAATCAGTCTGAAATTTGTTTTGGTGTAAGGTGTGAGGTTAGGATCCAGTATTATTTTCTTCAAAATGGTTTCTCATTTATTTTTTTCACCTCTAATTTGAAATGCTACCCTTATGTACATGCTAAATCTTGGCAAGTCTTAGGTAGAATATGGACTTTATTTTGTTTCATTCATTTCTTTGTCTACTAATATGACAGCTTTAATTATTGCATATTTATAATTGCTTTTAATATCTGGTGGAGTCAGTCCTCTTTGTTCTTCTTCTTAAAATAATACTTAAGTTTTGGTATGCCTGGGTGGCACAGTCAGTTAAGCGGCTGCCTTTGGCTCAGGTCATGATCCCAGCATCCTGGGATGGAGTCCCACATCAGGCTCCTTGCTCAGCAGGAAGCCTGCTTTTCCCTCTGCCTCTGCCTGCCACTCTGCCTGCCTGTGCTCTCTCTCTCTCCGACAAATAAATAAATAAAATCTTTAAATAATAATAATATTTAAGTTTTACTTTTTCATGTTAATATTTTAAAGTTTATCCAGTTACAAAAGACTCCTACACAACTTTTTAAAAAATATATGAAAAAATATATTGGTTAGCACCTAAAATAATTATAGCATTGCTTATAATAGTTTTTCACTTTTTCCCCTTGGTTTTTTGAGGTCAACAACAATATATCTGCAAATAATGAATTATTCTGCTTTTCAAATTCATACAGCCTCATTTCTTTTTCCAAAAAATGTTTAAAAAAAGAAAAGAATGTTGGTAGTGGGCATTTCTTTTAGCCCACTTTAAAGAGAATGCTTCTAGATTTTGCTATCAAAAATTATACAAGTGTTTGGATTGAAATGTCTCACTGGAATGCATGGAAGTAATTGTATGATTTTTATTTCAACTTGCTCATACTGAACTTAAAAAAATTATATTTAGCCATTTTAAAGAGAAATACATTCATATTATGTGGTTCAATAAACAATCACAGAACTTATAGGGTCTTCTTCAGAACCATCAAATCCCTCCTGCATTATTTCTCTTTCTCAATCTCACTGCCATAGGAATGCAGAAAGGTGTGGATTACAGCCATCCCCCTGAAACTTCTAACATAGACAGTTATATATTCGCTGTATTGTGAGGCACCTAGATTCATATAAATTTATACTAAAATTTCAGTTTTTGTCAAAGGGCTTCTGTTAAACGTTGCACACATTAGCAAGTGCCTTTTATGTTTAGCACATAAGAGATGAGGATAAAAATACTATATATTGAAAGGTTGGGGACCTGTTTGTTGAGGTGGAAGACACACTGGGCTACAACTCAGAAGACATAAATTCTAGTTACAGCCTTGCCCCTTGTTACCTTTTCTTAGACTAGTCATTTGGCTACTCTCAGACAGAGATAATAAGTAAAACAGCACACTACCAATATGTGTTGGTATCTTCAAATTTTAAGTACATTGCAAATCTTTAAAAATATTTATTTCAAAATTGCCTTTAAGGTATATTAAGTTTTTTGCATTAGTTAACTCAATAAATGAATTTTTGTCCTACACAAAATAGGATAAGGTCTATTAAAAGAAATTCACTAATGTCCCAATTCTCTAGAAACTCACAGAGTCACTCCACTGTGGGGTGGTTATATGGAAGTGGTGTCTCCCAGCCTTTGAATCTCGAATTTCCTATCCATCCAGTACTCTCTGATTTTGGCCATTGCCTTTCTTTTCTTTTCAAACCATAAGCTTTCTTACTTCAGGTTGTGAGGAATTTGCAGCCACTTCCCTTTAAATGCCCAGTTCTCCAATAAAGGACTTGAAGAGCATGAGGGAAGTATTCTGAAAGAAGCTCGAAAAGCCTAGAGCTGCTGCTAATACTTCCGAGGCAAAGGAGCCCAGAAAATATAAGCCCACACATTCTCTAATAACCTTTCCCATCTTTCCAGTCTTCTGTGGCAGCGAACAGTAGACAGAAATGAATAGCTCAATAAATTATCCTGCCACTAGTCATTTATTTTTCTGTTAAATTCTCTGAGATGTATGCTAAGTTAAACAATGAGGGAAGAGTGGCTCCATTTTCCTCTAAAGCTTCAGTTCTAGTTTTTACGTCACCCTTTAAACCATGTGTTCTTGGGCAGATTCGTTTCCATCCTAACTCACAAGACTCTTGGAAGGAAAAAAAAAAGACTCTTGGAAGGATTCATTTAGATAGATTCATTTTCAATGACCCTTCTTGCAAGAAATTAAGCCCCAATGCCTTTAAACCTTCCCATGGATATAATGAATTAACTCCTCCCTATGCCTCAAGGAAAGTCCTAGATGCATTTGTACTGCCCTTGCAAGAACTGAAAAGATAGTCACTCAAACCATTTTCCATGTTCTGTGGTTCAGATAAGGAACAAATTTTTGATCATGTATGCAAAAGGTTAAGATATGGTTTTGAAGTCAGATCACCTGGGTTCAAGACCCACCCAACTCCACCTCTTATTACCATACATCCCTTTTCTCGGGGTGGTGTAAGGAGGGTGCAGGGGTGCTCAACGCCCTCACCAGTGAAAAGGCAATAGTAATAGTACCTACTTCTTAAGATTTACATGCATAAGGCACTTAGAACAGAACCTTGCATACAGTAAATGTTCAATAAATGTTATTATATTGAAAGAAAAAATAAGCAAATAAAGTCTCTTCCTCTCAAAAAAGGTATGTCTTCTTTAACCTTTCATATATCTAAGTAAAATTTAGTATATGTGTAAATATCAGAAGATGTATTATCACTATGAATTATAGGTCCAGAAGTTCAGATAAACATTTCTTCATTATCAGGAAACTACAACATAGTCTGATAAAATTTTTTTCAGATAAAATTATTTTATTTTTATTTATCCAACACATATTGACTAAAGCTTATTTAACCAGACAGTATTAGGCACCATAAGAGAAGAATGTTTCATCCCAGCCCATAAAAAGTTTATGTGACCTGGCAGGGGGAAAGAAGATACATAATCAATTGATTCTATTAAATGGGAAATGCTTCCAGTACACATAACCAAGATACTACATAAGTTCAGAAGAGGAAACATGATTTCCAACTAATGATATTAAGCACAGATCCATGGAGGATCTGGCTTTTGAACCAAATCCTGAATCACCAGTGGTATATCCACAGGTTGAAAGGGATTCCGTGGGTTGAAATATCTAACTGGAAGGTCTCACATGTTTATAAAAATGGGCAGAGGGGCGCCTGAGTGGCTCAGTCATTAAGCGGCTGCCTTTGGCTCAGGTCATGATCCCAGGGTCCTGGGATGGAGCCCTGCATTGAGCTCCCTGCGCAGTGGGAAGCCTGCTTCTCCCTCTCCCACTCCCCCTGCTTGTGTTCCCCTCTCACTGTGTCTCTCTCTGTTAAATAAATGAATAAAATCTTTGGGGAAAAAATGGGCAGAGATTATTTTCATTGGTAAGATAAGCAATAACATGAATATAAAATGAACCCACTATGTGGAAGATAAAGGCTGCCAAGATATGTCTGAATTTTATTTAGTTGGTATTAAAGAATAAACACCATATCTTATGCCTTCAGTCAACAGTTTATTTCCAGGTGAACTATTAATATCTTTTCTTTTTTGTAGGTTTCTTTGGTTAGCTTGGTAGCCAATGCTCTCGGCTACTCAGAACTTGGTGCCATTAAATCCCTAAGGACATTAAGGGCTTTAAGACCTCTAAGAGCTCTATCCCGGTTTGAAGGCATGAGGGTAAGAAGAATAAAATCTCTCTGATGGGGCGCCTGGGTGGCTCAGTGGGTTGGGCCGCTGCCTTCGGCTCAGGTCATGATCTCAGGGTCCTGGGATCGAGTCCCGCATCGGGCTCTCTGCTCAGCAGGGAGCCTGCTTCCCTCACACTCTCTCTGCCTGCCTCTCTGCCTACTTGTGATCTCTCTCTGTCAAATAAATAAATAAAATCTTAAAAAAAAAATATCTCTGATGATTCATATCAGAATTAAATGTAGGTAAAGATTTAGATACAGATGGGTACCATAGTCCTCTGATATTTACTTCATGGAATTATAGAATTTCAGAGCAGGAATCTTAGATATCACTAAGGCCAGCCACCTTAAACCGAAGTTTATTTCAACAAGTCCTCAGAAATTGTTTGTGGCAGAACTAAGACTGGAATCCAAGTCTTCTGACGATAGTTCAAGGGTGTTTCCACAACATCCAAAAAAAATATGCTGCCATTTATTTCTTTTCATTGCTTATTATACATATTTAAATGATTTTTTACTACAGACATTCATCCTACTAGGGGTTTTTCTTCCTCCCAATAGGCAGTTTGATTCTTCAAAAATCACTGGTAATGAATGAAAGGTAAATGGTTTTTGTCTGCTTTACTTCTTCAATTAGTATCAGTAACAAAAATACTTGTTGTACAAGAAAACAACTCTAAATTGTAGTCTCTGATAAAATCTGTACATTCTAATAAGCAACCAAAATAAAGGGTTAGAATAATTAACCAGGCATTTCAGGCAACCCCTGGAGTTTGTTTTAAAGATTGCTCTTTTAAGTAAGCATTCTGAATGAGGTTCACTTTTTCCACAACATGTATTTTCCTCTTCACCTTAGTGTATATTTTTTGCATTTACACATAAAGTACACACTTATTTAGATACACAACCACTTGTAACACCCCTCGAAATACTATTTCAAAGGACAGGTTTGTTTAATCCAGCATGCAAATGCACAGAGATATTGAATTTCTCCCTGGCCATAGGCTTTTATGTTAGAAGGTTTGTTTAGAGCAATAAAAACACTTCAGCCTTGACTTAGAGATTCACCCATCACGGAAAATGAAACCACTCTCTAGACTTTCCAGAAGCTCTGTAAGCAAAGAAATATTTGGTTTTATATTCTAATTTCATTTCAGTGCTACTTGATAAAAAAAAGTCACAAAATTCATAAAAAATTGTTACAAAATTTCAAGTTCTATTCAAACCAATTTTTGCCATTACTAACACTACTTAAGCCCTCATTTGCTTGCATGGTTTCACTTTAGCAATTCCTTTTTGAGGGAAGATAGCAATGAACAAAATAAGAAACTTATAAATTTGCTCTAATCTGAAAAAATATTGTTTGGCATTTTTAATTCAATCATATGACGGAATTAATGTTCCAGCTATGAAACATGGTAAAATGTACCACACAGTTATTTGATAAGAAAATTTGTGGAGGTCATTTTACACAAATTGTAGTAGCAAAGAAACTTGGCAAGTATTATATAACTTAATTTCTAAAAGAAATCAAATTCATTCAAGTAGTATATGAAATTTTTACAATTTTGGATTTCAGATTTTGATGTCAATTTAAAAATTTTTGGTATTGATTTCTAACATAATATTTACATTATTTTAAAACAATAGTTTCATTTAACATAAATGCTTAACTAAAGAGTCCACTATTAATCAGATTAAATTAGATAAGTAAAGATGCTATCAGCCTCCCTAGGAATTTCAAAATACATCTCAAGCTTTTGAATTTAATGAGAGAATAGGTAACTTGATTTCTTCTTCATGAAACAGGTCAGCTTAGGTTGATGAAGTAACATGTACACTAAAGTGAACATTTGAGAGATTTAGAATAATAATGAGGACATATTTGTTATTTTTATGTCCAGAGATAAAGTCCATCTCATTTAATATAGTTTTTTAAATTGGGATTTACCAATAGAGAAAAAAAGAATTTACCTTGCAAATTCTTAACCCTATCTTCGTAGTGATAAAAAGTTGACTTGATCTGAGGAGGCAGATTTAAGGCATTACTAATACTTTATTTGCAAAGGGTTTGTTTAACCATGTTTTCAGTTCATCATTCATTAACACTCCTAAAAATTAAAATGTATTGCTGAATGACGATTATTTCTTCTGTTGGTATTTAATGCGTTTTTTTTTTTCTTTTTTCCCCAGCATACAAACATTTTCTGACTCCATCTTACTATATATCAGGTTTTTATTTCTTTTCACACTTTGGTATATTTTGCTTTCCTTAAATCCTTTAGCTATTTAGTTGTGTTACTGTTTATTTTCCCTTTTACATATGTCCTAGAAAACATGACGAGAAACAACTTACCCACCTAGATTTTTATTTAACTCTTTTTGCACCCATTTTAGTATTAAATAAATAAATGAAAGGAATGGTTTTCATTCTAGCAATTTGTAAGTGGCTTTTTCTCTTCTAGGTTGTTGTGAATGCTCTTGTTGGAGCAATTCCCTCTATCATGAATGTACTCTTGGTATGTCTCATCTTCTGGCTGATCTTTAGCATCATGGGTGTGAATTTGTTTGCTGGCAAGTTCTACCACTGTGTTAACACGACAACGGGTAACATGTTTGAAGTTAGTGAAGTCAACAATCTGAGCGACTGTCAGGCTCTTGGCAAGCAAGCTCGGTGGAAAAACGTCAAAGTAAACTTTGATAATGTTGGCGCTGGCTATCTTGCATTGCTTCAAGTGGTAAGTTACCACTGTATGAATTCTGGAAACATTTTCAAAATGTTTCACAAAAGATCATTTCTCTGATGTTCTTTGCTTGAATAAAATTATCTGACAGTACAAAAGCAGTTGGTGATAACACATATACTATTAGCTTAACTTGACTTTAAGATGTTTTGCAGTTATTTTAATGTGTATTTCCCCAATGTTCAGCTTTTAGTACGTTAAATATGGCCTTATTTTCCTGCTTCCTGGTTTTTTTTTCTTATTATATTATTGAGTGCTATTGTATTATTACTGTTTTTAGTTTTCCTTAGCAATCATTGCCAAAGGAGCAATTTTATATGTTAAAATAACAATGTACATATTTTAGTGATTAATTAAATGTATAAGTTATTAGCCTAGGGGGTGCCTGGGTGGCTAGTCGTTAAGCATCTGCTTTCAGCTCAGCTTATAATCCCAGGGTCCTGGGATGGAGCCCCGCATCGAGCTCTCTGCTCAGCAGGAAGCCTGCTTCTCCATCTCTCACTCCCCCTGCTTGTGTAACCTCTCTCTCTGTCTCTCTCTCCCTGTCAAATAAATAAATAAATGAATCTTTAAAATATATATTAAAAATTAAAAAATAAATTATTAGCCAGAAAATTTATTGTGCCAACGTCTAAGGAGTATGGTTCTACTATTTGCAGAAATACAAATCTTATGGAATAGATTTCAAAATGTATAATGTTAATAATTTTGGCTTAACTGACCACATATTAACTAATCAGTAACTCACTAATGAAAACAACTGAGCTGTGTTTAAACACACCATAGGTTTGAATAACAGAGCTTATATTTCAGTATAGAAAGGATTTGAGACTGAGATGGGTTTTCTATGAATCAAGCCTCTAGTTAAATTTTTGTAAGAAGAAAATTAATATCTTCCAAGAGAAAGAAAATGAATTCCAGACTCTAAATACAATCATATTCTACTTCAATTCGATTTCTTGATTCAATTCATTTCAATCTCTTGATACAGAATTTTATGATATCATACAAAAACCTACTTGTAGTAACACTATCAGAATTTCATATGGTAAAATGCCGCATTCTTAAATTAGGTTTTTATGCAGAATTCAAATATGTATTGTTCACAGGCCACATTTAAAGGCTGGATGGATATTATGTATGCAGCTGTTGATTCACGAGATGTAAGTATCACTCAAATACTATTAATAATTAGAAGATTTTCCGTAGTGAACATTTGTAATAGTTTAAGTGAATGACCAACAATTTCATATTAGATGCAATCAGAATATTTATAATTACATACAGAAATGATCCTCTTAAGCTAATGTACTTCAATAAAGATGGTATTTTGGTTAATATATGTCTGATATATCTATCTATATGTAGATATCTACTATGAAAGGATATCTAACTGCATGGGATCAGAAGACATCAAATTGGTCTATAAATGAGACTCAAGATTGGGAACATTGCTCATGAGAAAGTAACTTGCTTCTCCTTATCCCTGGAGAGTATGATAAATCAGAGTTTGTGAAGCAACTTCCAAAAATATCTTGAAAAAAAAAAAAAGCAAGTTTCAGGGAAACTCAATTTTGAAAATAGGAATTTAAAAAAATTCCTCAGAACTTACCTGTTTATATGACATTCCCCTTAGAAGCTAATGTTCTATTATTAAAGCCATATCTTCAAGAACCAATCCAGACCCAAATTTAAAACGCTGCAAAAAAATTTATAAAACTAATAATAGGTTCAAAATATTTCTTGTTATACCACTGTTATTTACTCTAAAGAAAATGTACAGGTAAGCCACAAAGGAAAAATAGATTCAAGAACAAGCATAAAAATTACAAACTTCCATTATCCTAGATCATACCAGTTTGAAAAAACAACTTCTTTGCAGAACAGTATCTCAGGGCAAAGCAAAAATAGCTCTAGATTAAGCAACAACACTCACTAAATTGTTAACTTATTTTAAGTATTTATTATGTTTTTAAATATTATTTAATATTTTCAATACTATTTAGGTAAAACTTCAGCCTGTATATGAAGAAAATCTATATATGTATTTGTACTTCGTCATCTTCATCATCTTTGGGTCATTCTTCACTCTGAACCTATTCATTGGTGTAATCATAGATAACTTCAACCAACAGAAAAAGAAGATAAGTATTCCTCAGCTCTCAGCTTTCCCCATTCTGAGATTCTGTCTGTTGTACATCCACTAGTCAGGATACTCATAGTCAAGACAGACTTAGATCATTTTTATATTCTTTTCAGTTCACTATGTGGTCAGTTCAGCTGCAGTTTCCAGCCTCTAGTTGGTGGCTCCTCTCTAGGTTGTTCCTCTGCAGAGTTGCTTTAGTGTCTTTGTGACCACTGCTTCAAAGCATCCAGTGGGCCTCCTCTAATGCTTTACCCTTGCTTACAGAGAATTTCGGGAATTATTTCCAGCCAGTTTTCTAGCCTCATTTTCTCCCACACCACATTTCTGTATCTCCTTCCCTACTCCTCAGTCAATAACTGCCGTCACCACTATCATACGTTACACACATAGCCACATGGATTTTTTTTCTTTTTTCCCTTTCTAAGCAAGCCATGCTCTTGTACCTCTATGACTTTACACAGGGTATTTTCTTTACCTGGAATGCTTTGCCTAGCATACCTCTGATCATCTGTTAAGGCCTAGCTTATAAAGACTGTTTCTGAGTCTTCAGGGTTTATTTTGGTCTCTGCAATACTTTTTTATATATCCTTATGCATTTTCCACCTGTCTTCATTTTCCTATTCCATACGACAAGATATTGTATCTCATATTATCTATTTAATTCTGATAACAGTCACATTTTCTAGCACACGGGAGGTACTTAAAATTATTGAATAAAGAAAGAAAACTGCCAAAAGTGAAATGGACTAAGAAAACACTTTTTCTTTCACAAAAATATATTTGAGATCTCTGAGCCTCCTTCTAAATATAATATAATCAAATTACAATCCTGTACTAATCAGAGATTTATGTGATTATAGGTTTTATATAAATAGTAAAGTACTCCAAATTTTACATAAATGAGAAAAGCAGAATATATATATATGTATATGTGTGTGTGTGTGTGTGTGTGTGTGTGTGTGTATGTGTGTGTATGAAATGGGAAAACTTCCATTTAAAAATTGAGAAAAGACTAAAGACTCAGAAATATTTTTGTACTGGTGCTCTTGTAATACATATTGAGATTGTAACTGGTTTTATACTATATCTTTACTTTGGAGGTCAAGACATTTTTATGACAGAGGAACAGAAAAAATACTACAATGCAATGAAGAAACTTGGATCCAAGAAACCTCAGAAGCCCATACCTCGGCCAGCAGTAAGAATTACTCATCTCTTTTAGTATTCTAAAACCTTACTTCCATATGATGAAGTTGGGAGTGCTTTGGATGAGAACATACTGAGTGACATTACCAATATATCATAGGCCCTAATAGTGAAGTTCATATTGTTTAACACCATTCACAACTGCCATACTCAATAAGAATTACTAAATTCTTAAAAAGGAGGTAATGTTCTTTATAGTTTGTCAGTTGAAAAAGTCCAACTTGAGGTTCTCAATAACTATTTCCAAAGCAGCCTTCATATTCCTGCTGCCACCTACTGCTTCCCGGAACGTACCCAATCTTGTTACATGGCACCGTGTTGCCATTTAAATAAATGGAGTCTGGAAAACTCCCATCCTACCCCAGTACTTCCCTCTATACTATTTGTTCTCTCCATTCATATGATTAGAAAATACTCTTAACTTTCTTAAAAAGGAAAAGGGCATCATCAAAATAGTTTGTTTCACCAAATACACAAAAAAGAAAAAGACTTAATCAGAATGCATACTCTGTAGAGCTTCATAATATATGAAAAAACATAATAATGATGGATTATGTTCATAGAGCTGTTTGTACTATAACTTATCTCTTAGATGGGTAAGGAATAAGGAAGCTGAGCCCCCCAAAAAATCGTACCCAAAGTCAAAGCCTGTAATTGCCAGAATTGGGACTTGGCAAGCCCTCATGAAGCCCATCAATGACTTGACTTAATCATATTTCTAAGAGTTTTGGAGTTGAGGTTAGAAGCGACAAAGCGGGGAGGTAGAGCAGGAAACACAAAAGGGCATAAATCTACTTTACTGAAGGTCATTTAAATATATTTAAAAGAAGGAAACTTGGTCAATTCATGAAATTGATTTTTAGTAAGTTGTGAAATTTCATTTGATATTTTTATTCTAAATTATTAAATATTTATCTTCCTAACAGAACTATATTCAATGACCATAAGAGTACAGTAATCTTTGAAAGTATGTGACTCCTGAGATGATTGCTAACAAAACGAAGAAAAAGTGTCATGCATTTTTGTTGAAGCATAGATAAAGAACAGATCTTGAAGAAAGACAGATAAATAACAAACACACAGACACACATAGTTAGAATAAAATAGACAGTGACTGATATATTTTGAAGGAGGGAGAGATGGAAATAATATATAAACCAAAATTCCTGAAATATTGACAAATGAGTTAGGGTATTCATCCATCTAAAAGTCTGTCTGTATCAAACTACTTTGTAAATCTTGTTTCCATAATTTTTTATGAAAATTATCATAGTTTTTTTTTTTAAATCAAGCAAAGCCCATGCATATTAACAGCCAATTGTCACCAATTTATGTCTTACTGAGTTTTGTCTTTCCGTGGAACTTAAATATACCAAATATGTTTTGTTCTTATCCAATGACTTTTTTCATTTCCTCCTCATATTTTAATGTGAAGAGAAATGGAGCACAAAGAATTGTTTGGACTAATGTGAGAAGGGCGTACATCTCGTGGCCACATATGGAAGGACTTCACTTGCAATTTCACTGGATCATTATTTATTAACCTTCTCTCTGCTCTCTCTCTTCCTAGAACAAATTCCAAGGAATGGTCTTTGATTTTGTAACTAGACAAGTCTTTGATATCAGCATCATGATCCTCATCTGCCTCAACATGGTCACCATGATGGTGGAAACTGATGACCAGAGCAAATATATGACTCTAGTTTTGTCCCGGATCAACCTTGTGTTCATTATCTTGTTCACTGGAGAATTTGTGCTAAAGCTCGTCTCTCTCAGATACTACTATTTCACCATAGGTTGGAACATTTTTGATTTTGTGGTGGTGATTCTCTCCATTGTAGGTAAGAATAGTTTAATTACAGAGAGGTACCATTGTAGGTAAATTTTTCCAAAGCCCGACAGCTGTACAACACAGAAATTAGATCTGAGAATGTTAATATATATAATTCTAAAGTTTACACTTTCCTTTTCCTCTAACTGAAGAATGTCGGTATTCAAAAATAGAAAATATATTTAGAGATTTCAGAAATAATCTTTGTTTGTAATCAGCACATTTCATGTGTGCGGATAACTCCTCATAGTAACCAAGTGTATATAATCTTAAATTGCCATGACATTCTGAGATTATTTAATTGTTGGATTTTCTAAAAATCTATATCGGTTTTTAACATTAAAGAATCATTTAATAAAATTCTGTAATCCAATCACTAATACTAGGGAGTGGACCCAAATATTTAGTAAAAATTTATACTCATAACAATCCTGCTGTTTTCATAAATCTTGCAAGGACAAAGCATTCATATAAACATAAAATACTCACTGTTTAGCTGTTTTCTATATTTTTCCACAGGCATGTTTCTGGCTGAGCTGATAGAAAAATACTTTGTGTCTCCTACTCTGTTCCGAGTGATCCGGCTCGCCAGGATTGGTCGAATCTTGCGTCTGATCAAAGGGGCCAAGGGAATCCGCACGCTGCTCTTTGCTCTGATGATGTCCCTTCCTGCCTTGTTTAACATCGGCCTCCTGCTCTTCCTGGTCATGTTCATCTACGCCATCTTTGGAATGTCCAACTTTGCCTATGTTAAAAAGGAAGCTGGAATTGATGACATGTTCAACTTTGAGACCTTTGGCAACAGCATGATCTGCCTGTTCCAAATTACCACCTCTGCTGGCTGGGACGGGCTGCTGGCACCTATTCTCAACAGTGCACCCCCTGACTGTGATCCTGACACAATTCACCCTGGAAGCTCAGTTAAAGGAGACTGTGGGAACCCATCTGTTGGGATTTTCTTTTTCGTGAGTTATATCATTATATCATTTCTGGTTGTGGTGAACATGTACATCGCTGTCATCCTGGAGAACTTCAGTGTTGCTACTGAAGAAAGTGCAGAGCCCCTGAGTGAAGATGACTTCGAGATGTTCTATGAGGTCTGGGAGAAGTTTGATCCTGATGCCACCCAGTTTATAGAGTTCTCCAAGCTCTCTGATTTTGCAGCTGCCCTTGATCCTCCTCTTCTCATAGCAAAACCAAACAAAGTCCAGCTCATTGCCATGGACCTGCCCATGGTCAGTGGGGACCGGATCCACTGCCTCGACATTTTATTTGCCTTTACAAAGCGTGTTTTGGGTGAGAGTGGAGAGATGGATGCCCTTCGAATACAGATGGAAGACCGGTTCATGGCATCAAACCCCTCCAAAGTCTCCTATGAACCCATTACAACCACTTTGAAACGCAAACAAGAGGAGGTGTCCGCTGCTATCATTCAGCGTAATTTCAGATGTTATCTTTTAAGACAAAGGTTAAAAAAGGTATCAAGTGAATATAACAAAGAGGCAATTAAAGGAAGGATTGACTTACCTATCAAAGAAGACATGATTATTGACAAATTAAATGGAAACTCCACCCCAGAAAAAACAGATGGAAGTTCCTCTACCACATCTCCTCCTTCCTACGACAGTGTAACAAAACCAGACAAAGAAAAGTTTGAGAAAGACAAACCAGAAAAAGAAAGCAAAGGGAAAGAGGGCAGGGAAAATCAAAAGTAAAAAAGAAACAAAGAATTATCTTTGTGATCAATTGTTTACAGCCTATGATGGTAAAGTCTATGTGTCAACTGGACTCCCAGAGGAGGTGTATGCCAAACTGACTGTTTTAATAAATACATATGGTCAGTGCCTATAACAAGACAGTGACCTCTCCATCACTACAACTCTGTGAGTCAGGGTATCAACAAGATTGACAAGAGGTTGCTGTTTTCATTACCAGCTGACACTGCTGAAGAGAAACTCAATGGCTATCTAGACTGTAGGGATAATTGTGCAAAGTGATCATTGTAACTACACCAAACACCTTTAGTACAGTACTTGCATCCACTCTATTTTTAACTTCCATATCTGCCATATTTTTACAAAATTTGTTCTAGTGGATTCCCTTGCTCCCTAATTCATAGTTTATTCATAATACTATGTCACTATTTTTGTAAATGCTATTTAAGTTGAGAAAAAAGCGTATAAGAGCCCTGTGTTCCTACTCCATAAGTCTCTCAAATAACTTTCAAAAGTGTTTTGAGAGATAAAGTTCATGCTCAAAACAAGAAAAAAAATTCTAATGTCAATAATTTCAGGTACTTCCGTTTTCTAGATGGCTTTAATTTTGGAAGTGTTTTAGTCTGTTACATTTGTTTATATCTGAACAGTTATGTGCCTGTAAAGTCTCCTCTAATTTTTAAAGGATTATTTTTATGCAAATATTGTTTCAGCAAGTGCAGATTTTATTCTAAGTTCCAGAGCTCTATATTTAATTTGGTTAAATGCTTTCCAAAAACAAAATGAAAAAAATCTAGAAAAAGTGTATCTAAAGTGTCACTTTAGAATAGTTGTCCCACTTTCTGCTGCAGTTTTGCTTTGCCATCTTCTACTCTCAGCAAAGCTGACATTTTATGTCAATTCAACACCCCCTGTTATGTAAATAGTTATTTTATCCTGTGGTGCATGTTTGGGCAGGAATTGAATATATATATATATACACATATATATTCAATTATATACACACACACACATATATGTGTATATATATATTTTTTTTCCTGCTAAACAATATCTATTAAATCAAATATGTACCACACTGTTACGTGTCTTTTGCAAGCTTCCAACAGGGATGTATCCTGTACCATTCATTAAACATAAATAGTTTGAAGACTATCACTAATGCATGTCAATATTGCCTATGCTGCTCTATTTTACTCAACCCATTCTTCACAAGCCTTGGTTAGAAGTCACATGTCGATAGAGTGAATTCAAAGAGCTCTATCGAGTATGTCAAGCAGAATAGTTTGCAGTTACTTAAAAGTACCTTTACTTTCACATTTTAAATTCAACTTGAGTGTCATATGATGTCTCTCTATATTTCAAAGAAACACACTGCATACTGCCTATTGTCAAAACCTATACTTCATATTTTGCTAAAAATATGTCCAAAATTTGTTTAAATATAAATAATGTAAAAATATGATCAATTTTATTTGTTGCATTTTGTACATAAGAAAATTATTTTCAGGTTGATGACATGGCAATTTATTTTACTTTATGCTTTTGCTTTTTATTTTTAATCACAACTCCAAACTTTTGAATCCATAAGACTTTTCAATGGATAATTTCCTAAAATAAAAGTTAGACAATGGGTTTTGTGGATTTCTTTGTTATAATATATTTTCTACCATTCCAATAGGAGATACATTGGTCAATATTCAAACTTAGATCATTTTTTACCAACTATGGTTGCCTCAATATTACCCATTATTCATGGAATTTTTTTTTTACTCAAACTTTTGTAGTATTTGCTTATGCAGACTAGTCTTATTTTTTTAATTCTTGCTACATTAGAGCTATTAGAGAAATAACATGGGCTCGGTCCTTTTTAGCCATGAACAAAGTGGCAAAGTTGTGCAATTACCTAACATGATATAAATTTTTGTTTTTTGCACAAACCAAAAGTTTAATGTTAACCTTTTACAAAACTATTTACTTGTAGTGTACTAATGAACTGCATGCAGGGAATTGCTATTACTAAAAAAGAATGGTGAACTATGTCATTATTGAGCCAAAAGAATAAATATTTCATTTTTTATTATATTTAATTTGTTGGCCTCTTTTATTTTTATTGATGGACGTTTGAAATAATACATATGAAACCTGTACTTGATCTGACATTTGTACACATAAAAGTTCACATGGATTTTATAACAGCCTAACACATGATCCACCAAGTAGTAAAAGCTATCAAAAGAAATTTTTGTGAACTTTTTTGTGTGCAAAGAATCAAATCCACATGTTCCAACTTACAGTTTCAGCAATAATAGTAGTCATTGACAATGGTGGTCAATACCAATCACCTCCCTTGGCTGTCAGCATTTTAATCTCAACTCCTCTCAGTGTTATTGATACCATGGCGGAATTTCTTGGTAGGTAGCAAAGGTCACATACTTTATTATTTAAATGTGTTTTACCAATTCCTATTTACATATAAAGTACTAATGATGCAGTGATTGAGAATTTATGTTATCTTTTTTTTTTAAGATTTTTTTATTTATTTGACAGAGAGAGAGAGATCACAAGTAGGCAGGCGGAGAGAGGGGGGGAAGCAGGCTCCCTGCTGAGCAGAGAGCGTGATGCGGGGCTCGATCCCACGTCCTGGGATCAGGACCTGAGCCGAAGGCAGAGGATTAACCCACTGAGCCACTCAGGCACCCCTGTTATCTTTTTTTTTTCAAGGCCCTTCGATTTATGTTATCTCAAAACCAAATGTTTATACTCAGTGAAAAACCCCAGTTGTAAGGCAAAGTTGATCTAAATAAGCATTTAATAATTTCCTCAATGTAAATGACATAAATGACTTCAGAAGAACTCAATGGCTTCTTTCTGCTAAAGTCAGTTTTCAGATCTTCCCAATAGCATAGAGAAGTCAAGTACTACTTTGTAAAACCCTTAGCCTTTTTATGCATCCCATCAAATAATCTTAGCCAAGTATTCTATTAACTGATATGCATTATAACTAAATGATTATTTCTAAAATAGTCACAAGAGCCTTCAGCTGAGAAAACTTTTAAAAATATACTTATCTAGCTAACAGATAAGCTGAAAATACTGTTCAGAATACTGTTCAGAACATAAAGCTGTTAATAGAGTTTAAAGGATTTTTTAAATAACTAATTCCTCAAGAAAAATCCTTCTATTATTGAACTTCATGACAAAATTCTGTTTAAAATAACATAATAGAAAAAATTTTAAAGATAAAATAACATACTAGAAATAAGCAACTTAGACATAGAAATAACAATACTATGAAATTAAGGAAACTTAAACACACCAATAAGTGATACTGAATGGCTGCCCTTCAGTAAGGGAAGAACATTTGTATGGAGGAAAAAATGGGTATTCCAGTTTTTAAATATTATAGCCAAAAGATAATAGCTATATAAATTTATGTGCTTACTAATTTTCAAATAACTAGAATATTAAAAAACAAGCATTTCAAACCATTTAGTAGTAATCATAAAGAAAGTTGCTGCTGACCATTTTTGCAGAAATGGAAAATACCAAAAGACCAGACCAGGAGTTCTAACGCTTGTCTTTCAGTATCAGTTCTGGCATCAAATTAGCAATGTAATTCAGGCAAATCAAATTCTGGTCCCTCAGATTTCTCCTCTGTTGAATAAGACAACATATTGTCTCAAATAGGTGTTTAATTCTAAAATTCTATCTTCAAAGGCAACTTGTCTATTCAAAGTGATTAATCTCTATACAGGTTAATACTTCTCTTCAGACTTCCTAATGTGATCTGTGAGGGTGTGGATCACACTGTGCTGTATTACTTCCTTTGCATTTATCTCTTCTTAATAGACTGTAGCACATCCAATGTATGGGACACTTCTCATTAATTTCATCACCCTTCTTTCCTTTAGGACTAGCAGAATATGTGACTATCAATATTTAGATAATATTGCTAGTAGAATTGATTCTTGCAGAAACACACAGATATATTTAAGTGTCAAAGAAGAAATACTAACAAAATTTTCAGTCTTTATGGAAGATAATTCTCAAATTTATTAACATGTAAATTCAGACAATCCACCTTTATAATCAGTTGAAATATATACAAACATCTTGAAAATAATGTACACCTAGTAACTATGTTTACAAGTCAAGTTTTTTACCTAACAAAAACTACTGAAACAAAAACTCTATCAGTGAAATAATTAACTCTATCAGTGAAATAATCTTATTGAGATATCTTTAGTAGAAATATGTTGCATAGATAAAAACAGACTCAGGTTTTATCTCACTATCTTGATGTAGATATTCTTAACTTTAATAGTTCCGGAGTACACCAATAATACACTAATAACTTCAGAAAATTTGCTGGATAAAGGCATATTTCCCCATATAATGGTACAACTATTGTTACCTACCCCTATCATAAAATATCTAAAAATGGAGGGTAAAATATTGTTAAAAGACCATTTATTACATATAGTTGGACTTACAAAAAAAGCAAAAGAAATTCCCTGGGACTGATGGAGAAAGGCAAGCAAACACTGAAGTCAGATGATACTTAGTGGTCTTCTATTGATCCCAGTGACCTACATCTCAGTTTAAATTGCCTAGGTGCAAGAAATAGAACACAAAGATTTGGCTCCAGTATGGGTTAGAGATCCTGAAAAAATTCACGACACATAAAAAGTTACACGCTTTTTTTCCCCCCAAAAGCTACACACTTAATAAAAACATTTTCAAAAATCAATTTTGCAAAAGCTGACAGGAAGGTAATTTGGCAAGCAGATTTTCCTATCTTGTTTTAGGTCTGAGTATATGCAGAAAAGCCTCTCTTGAGACTCATAGCTATTGGTCCAGAATTCACCTGGAATTTATGGCACAAATTTACACTATCTGCCTAGTACAAAATACTACAAGCCAAAAATTCAAGTTGCTAGTGTTTCGAGGCTTCTGTGAGAAACTAACTGAAATCCTTTTTGAAAGACCACACCTCACCACAGGCCTCAAAGATTTCCCACAAATAAAGTCCA